TACCAATATGACTAAGTTGCGAATACAAGGTCAAACAACTTCTATACAACGGAAGGAGACTGCGACCACAAAAAGACCACACCATCTTGGTCTTCATACTTTCAATAACTTTCTTGATTTCTTTCTCTAATGCAATCTAACCATCTTGTCTAAAGTAAAACTTAATTACGCATATATTTAATGTTCTGAAACAATAATTTAACAGGATAGTTCTGTGGTGAGGCTATGGACATTTTCAGTCTTATCTATTAGAGTTTTCCTAAAAATTGAAGATAAAAGGATTATTTATTGGAACTTTCAATGCCTAATTCAATTTTAAGCATGTACAGGTTTAATGAAAACGGCCTCTGTTTATACATAATCCAAATATTTAGCTTTAAAGTTTATTCGATTATTTCACTTCTAAAATTAAAGGCTCCCAAGATTTGGAAGACAGAATACGATGATATGAATTTTTCTGGAACGACTAGAGAGTGGAAGTAAGTATTTATTCCTTAAAATTATTAAAATTTATTAGTGAAAAATCGACTTTCAAGGCTATAGTGACTAAAATTTTAATTAGTCTTAGCCTTCTCTGACTTAGTAAAGATGTTAATGCATGAAAGTGAAACCTCTATACTCTGAGATTGAGATGACAAATGCTGCTCAAGGCTTTCTTTGGTTTCTTCTAGTTCCGAATTTATTCCAAAAATTCTCTAAAATAAATATGCAAGCAAGCGAATATCATTAAGTAAATTGAAATAGACTTTAATAAATTTTATAAACCAAGTTTACGAGAGAATTGAAAAATGTCTACTTCGAAGAGATGTTAGGAAAGTGAGCTTGAGACTTCGAATACATGATTTGGAGAAGAAGTTATGTGATTAATCATCTAATTATTTTTTTTAACCAAGACTGATTCTCCTCGGTGGGTATACAGATTAGTAAACAAGTGAAATTTCCGAACCTGTACATCTACAACAGTCTGATACTAAAAAAATGAATGATCGTAGTGGCAGAGAATGCAGTTGTAGGTAGATGCTCCAGTATTTTACTTCGAATAAAGAGAACGCCAAAATTGAAAGCTAAGATGGACTACGACCAGAGAAAAACCCACAAAGTGTATATGTAGAATAACTTGCTTTCAAAGAATCCTTTAATACATTGGTGTCGGAATACCCTTTGTTGCGTTTAAAGAAGCAATCAGAAAGATCCATAATTTAGCTTTACCAGAAACGAAAGAAGGGTTGCTTTGGTTCAGTTACCGTATATTTATGTGAATTGGACCTAGGCATTCCGACTTCGATGAATCCCTTCTGCGTTTTACTGCCTTTGTGAAAAAAAAGCTTGAGAAAAATTTCAAAATATACCTTAGCAGAATCTTAATACTCTTTACTGTCCTTTTTCTTTTTTCTTGCTCATATAGCATTGCGTTTACTTTTGAGTATCGTCAAGCCAACATATATTTATAATTAATTGTTCATATGAATGCATTAGCCTTATATTATTCTTACTTTCGTTTTGAAAGTGTTTATTTTGCTCTCGCTTTCTCAATAGTTAATTATGCTAGCTTTTCTCCCGTTCAATATTTAGATATTGTAATCCACTGGAGCAACCTGTGCCTGAAAATTGGACGACAGTTCGAGGAAGATTTATTACAGTGGCAGCACTGAATCAATCGCATTTAACACAAAATGCTTCTCCCCTACCAAACAAGAAAATGGATGATGGCTGCCTTCATCTGGTGACTATAACAGAATCGGCAAGTAGGTGAGTTTCCAATGGGCCTCTAACAGCCTCTAACAAGAAAAAGAATTTGTATGTGGGGGCATGAAGATCATTCAGATTAGCACATCGAGCTGTAAGACATTAACAAGCTATATCAATATCGTCAGATAACGATAGTGTGGAGACTCATTCCTATTCAGCGAAAATAACTTCGGCTTTC